CGTGACAAAAATGTTCAACAAACCAACAAAAAGAATATTATTAACTGATAATGGACATCTATGAAAAACCCAGAGACAATGGCATAATTAATGGTGAAAATGAAGTCATCGCCTCTAAAGCCAGAAACACGGTAAGGCCCATCATCACATATGCCATCTTGTACTATATGTACTGGAGCTCAGATGTGTGACGGGGAATCAGATAAGAAAAAAAAAAAAATGCCCTGCTTGCAGAGAGCAGATCGAACAGTTCTTGTGGATCCCATTATCTTGTGTTTAGAAAGCTCCAGGAACTCTACTAAGAAACTAATAAACTAGTTCAGCAAGGTCAAGCTGCAGGAATCTGTTGCGTTTTATAGCACTAATAAAGACACTGAAAAATGAAATCGGGGGAAATTCATTTATAGAGCATGGAAAGAATAAACACTAACAAATGGATTTAACAGAACTGTCGAGCATATTGTATACTGGAAACTACAAACTACTGAAAGAGATTAAGGGCCAGAATAAATAGGCAATAGAAACTTGTCTAACTGACAAAGGTCGAGATTCAAACTACAATTACCAACCTCTGGGACACAAACACCTGTAATGTGATTATGGGGTGTGGTGAAATGGTCCCAAGATGTCCCCGACACCTTCCAACCCAGAAAGTGGCACCGTTCTGGGCAGAAACTAGAACTTGGCCCAAGTTTGGCTAGGGAGATGGGTTAGCTGTTAGGAGCACATACTGTTCTTGCAGAGGACGTGAGTTGGATTGGCAGCACCCATGTGGGGCAGCTTACAATGGCCTGTAACTCCGGCTTCTAGGCACCACACTCACTCATACACATAATTTATAATCAAGATTAAAGGGCCAGAGAGGTGGCTCAGTGATTAAGGGCACTGGCTGCTCTTCAAGAGGACCAAGGTTCAGTGCCTAACACCCACACGGTGGCTCACAACCATCTCTAACCCCAGTTCCCGGAAATCTGACGCCCTCTCCTGGCCTCTGAGAACACTAGGCATGCATGTGATGCCCAGACTACATGTAGGCAAAATACCCAAACACGTAAAATGTATTAATTAAATTGAAATTTTAAGTCTAGAAGAAGTGATGCCAAGGGAAGGTGTGGTGATGAAGCTAAGAATCATTCTTGCCCTTCTGATGTGGTCCCTGCAGCTGAAGGGTAAGACAGAGTATCTTTGTCACAGGCAAGAGGCAGGATGCTTTCAACTGTGGAGACGGGGTGTGTTGGCATGAACTTCATCCTTAGTTTTCAGGTCTGTTTTCCTTAAACAGAGCTCTAGCAGTAGGACACTGTGGGGCTTTTCTTTCTTTCTTTTTTTTTTTTTCTTTTTTCTTTTTTCTTTTCTTTTTTTTTTTTTCCCTAACCAGCTAATTGTTACTTTTTAAAAACTGGTATTCAAAGATAAAGCCACCAAAATGATTATCTTCTTGAAAGAGGTATTTCTGGAGTGGGAAACTGAAAGTTGCTGTGAGATGAGGGTTCCACCGGAAAAGTATTTAAGACAAAACTTACTTTTGAAATCCGTTCAAAGAATGGATGTGTGTGTGTGTACTAAACACACACACACACACACACACACACACACAATTGAGAAGAGCATGAAATCAAATCTTTCATGAGGCCATGACTGCTGTACAGAGAATAGGGGTTGTATGTGAATCTGGAGAAGATCTGTTGTGTGAATAAGAAACACTCCATTCTAGATCCTTCCACAGACTTAGCAGGAAACACACACACACACACACACACACACACACGCACGCACGCACGCACGCACGCACGCACGCACGCACACACACACACACACAACTCAGTTCCTAAAAGCGAATGAAAACCAAACAGCAAGCTTTAGGCGGAGGTGACCTGAAACCCAGTCTTCAGGAGACCAGTGGAGCCTCCTGTTGTAGAAATGACAGCTGTATCCCATGGTCCCCTCCAAAGCTGCGCCTCCTGCTGGGAAGATGTGGTCACTGCATATACAAAATGACAAACCAAATGCTGCCAGTCCCCCAGAGCTCATCCGGGCAGGTAAATTCTTGAGAAAGCCTGAGACAGGTCATGCCTGACAAGCTCCATACGGTTCGAAATGAGTCAGCGGTCCAAGTGGCCTCCCAGACGCAAATGGGAGGTCCGAAGTTTAATGGAGTTGCCTGGGTCTCAACAGATGGTTGTCACCTTCCTCACAGTGGGGTCCCCCTGAAGGCTAGTCACCAAGCATCCGGCAGCACAGCAGCAAACGTGACCCTGTGTAGTGAGATAGTCCGTCTGTGGCACTGACCACGCCCATTGGGGGTGGAGCCATGGGCGGGGTGACCTGTGGAAGGAGGTCGGAGGGGGCCAGGAAAGTCTTTCTGGCGTGACTCGGACAGGAGAGGATCGGGTTGAATTTCCTGGTGTTCATCTGTCTAGGTTGTAAGTTATTTCTCCCTGAATAAACATCTATTCCGCCTATTTGTTTATCCTGATCCTTATTTTACCGCGATAACCCTGACACAAACAAAGCAGAAGACACGAGCTGACAGCCAAGACTGTCCCCTGACCTCCTCCACGGGTGTGCCCATGAACACACACACTGAGCACGCACACACACAATGAAACAAACATCACACCCCGAGATTTCTAGCTCCACAGGACTCCAGGCAAACAGGCAGCACCTGTGTGCACAGTTCTGAGGACGCAGGTGACGTTCTCAACCACAGACGTTGTTCCATGTCAGCTGAGCAGGGCGCTTGAACTCCCTGGTGATTTTTAGTATTAGCCTGGGACATTTTTCATAGTCTTTGGAAATGTGAAGTGCTGAGCTAATGGGTATTTCTAGACACCACCCATCTTGTCTGAATATTTCTATCCAATTAAGGATCGAGTACGGGATTCTGTTTGTAAAGAAATCCAACAGTGGTTGATGTCCCCTAGAGAGAAGCTAGGCTTCTGTTTTGCGGGCATTTGAACTCTAGTAAAATTGCCAAGGGAGTAGTCTAGACCCACACATTCAGAAACAGATTTCAGATTTTAGCTGCAGAGTAATCCGGAGAAACATGTTTTAACAGGGAAAAAGGATAACATAAGGGGGGGGGGATGTAGTAACTTGTTCTACAGATGTGAAATGATCTGTGACTGGGGGCACCGGGCCAGCAATCTCAGCTATCAGAAGGCTGAGGCAGGAGGTTCCCCCACTGCAAGCAGCCCACAACCACTGTGACTCTGGCCTGAGGGGTCTGACGCTCTGGCCTACAGGGTGCCTGTATCCTCACACCCAAACTCAACCCCAACACAAATCCATGCATGTAATTTAAGTAACAAAAGTAAAGCTTTTAAAACTAATAAATAAAAAGTAAATGATGGAGCTTGGGTCTAGTTTAGAGGTATAGTGTTTGCCCGGTGTCTGTGGGGCCTTGGGTTCAATCTTCCATACCATAAAAGGAAGACAAAAGAAATCCAATTAGAGCAGACCTAAGGGGATTGTTCCCTTACTTCTACCCCAGGGCTCGTGCGACAGAGTACAGGGTGCACCCTAAGCCTCCTACGCTGCTGTAGTTCAGGGTTCCCTGGACTCTGAGGTGCTAGCATGAGTATGCATTCTCCCACTGCGTGTCTTCTTAGTTCACTGCGCTAGAACTGCCTTGCTTTGTGAGCAGACAAGATGGCTCAGAGGGTAAGATGTGCTTGCTGTAAATGCTGATGACCTGATTTTGAGAGAGAGAGAGAGAGACAGAGAGAGAGAGAGAGAGAGAGAGAGAGAGAGAGAGAAGTTCCTCACTAAGAAACATCTTAGTTCTTCCATAATAGGGTACTTTGAGTAAATACAGGAAATAAGAACTGTTCCTTTTGAAAAAAAAGAATAAAAGAAATAACCACTTATTGATTAATACCGTATATCTGAAACAACAAGTAATAGGTAACAAGTCAGGGAAAGGTTATGAATGTCAGAAAAACGGAAGACCCAGGGGTCCTCCAGATAAAAGAATCTGTGAGAAAGCGCCCAGAAGACAGCAGACAATGGTGTTGGGGGAATTGTTTTAAATTATAAAGTACTTTAAAGACTGAGTACTCAGGGGATACAGATGCTTCTGTAACAATTGCCGGAATCTGAATATAAGCCACAACAGTCCCTTTGGTATGTTGTAAAGTATGCAACTTTAATTACGTGATTTTCCTGGCTAATCTCGGCTTCAAAAACAGTAAGTGCTTGTGCTTACAAGGCAGCAAAGACAGGAAGTTTTCTCAACCTTTCATATGCACGTTGTCATCAAAATTTAAATTCCCAGCAACATGCCTTTGAGTTAAACGACACTTAGGCCCGTGACGTGGCCCCCGCGATCCCACACGCACCGAATGTCGTCGGCACACACGGCCAGCAGTTGCCTCCTCAGAGCATCTTTCCTTCCCGGGCTTCCCACGAGTGACGTTTTCACACAAACTCCATTTGTTTTCTCAGCGTTAACTGCATGCGCTGAATACATCTATTACCATAAACCGCTCCTACTAGGGAGAAGCTTCCAAAGGGCTTCAGGAGATACCCTGTTTCGTTTGCATATGGGATACATTTTACATCCGTTCTGCATGGGAGTCAATCAACGACAGCAAACACAGACAGATTGTCTGACAAAACATAGCAACCATTTGGGGGGACGGAGATGGAACACTTGTCAGGAGATGTCCACAAATAATTAATTCCTTTTTAGCACATTGGAGATACTCTTTTAATCTCACAGCCTATTTTGAGGGGACACTCATTACTTCCTAACCATCTGTCATCTCCCCAAAAACCTAATTAGGGTCTCACCCAATCACACATTAGAAACGATGCAAATATGCACGGGCTAAGGCAGTATAAAGAAGTTAACATCTTAACATTTTGTTTAAAAATTATGAAATTCAGAAGTAGTCTTTCAGGTCCTAATTTTCTTAATCTTTTTCTGATAAGTTATTAAATTATAAGCTTGGAAAATTAAACACATACATACACAGAGAGAGAGAGAAAACACTTACAGGTAGTAGAGTTTTCCTGCAGGGGTGAGTTCCCTTTTCCGATAATCTATCCCAGAATCTAGCTGGACTGTATTGCAATATTCCTACAGTACAAACAGAAAACATCTTTTAAAACAAGGAATAGATTTGACTTAAGACCAACCCACTCCATGAGATGGAACCCATACTCAACATTGTTTGAGTGACCAAGAACCAGAGACTAGATAGCCCAGGGAACCTAGAATAAAACAACACCACTGGTCTATAACAATAATGACAACAATAATAATAATAATAATAATAAATGCAAGCGAGACAAAATGACTCCTAATGACATTCTACTTTACTCATAGATGAGTGCCTTATTCAGCCATCATCAGAGCAGCTTTCCAGATGCAGAGACCCACAGCCAAACATTACGGAGAGAGAACCACTTCTTGAACACTCATCCCTAAATGGGATGTCTCCATCAGAATCCCCCCTCAGGGCTCAGGGAACCCTGCAGAAGACAGGCAGAAGAAGTGTAAGAGCCCGAGGGGATGGAGGACACCAGGAGAACAAGGCCTTCTAAACCAAGCGAGCAAAGCACATGTCAAGTCGGAGACTGGATCAGCAAGCACAGGGCCGGCAGGGCCTGCAGCAGCTCCTTCCTGTGCACACATATTTTAGCTTTCAGTCCTGTGTTTTTCTGGGACTCCTGAGTGCGTGAATGAGTGTGTGTCTGATTCTTGTGCCTTCTTTGGGGCTCTTTTCCTTCTGTTGGGTTGCCTTGTCCAACTTTGAAGTGATGGTTTTTGTTTTATCTTATACTTACATTTTGTTACGTTTTGTTGTTAAAAAACAATAAACATTTTGGAGAAATGGCCCTGACAACCAACCAACCAACCAACCAACAAACAAAAAACAAAGGATGACTTGGAATTTTTAAGCTTTCTGCATATATATGTGTGTATGTATACATATACACCTTAATTATAAATATAATATATATATATATATATATATATATATATATATATAATTCCTGAGATGTTCCAATGAAGTTATATGAGCTTAGAACAAAAAAAAATTTAACTCATGTAAGATTCATAAAACTGAAGTTGCAATATTAAATATATTCAAAGCCAATAAAATAATAATTTAATTTAAAAGTAAGTTTTGCATTATGTTTTCCTGAAACTTCCCAAACTGTACTGTGAGCAAATTTCTTCGAGTACCTACATTTGCGTTTCTGCTTAACTCTTAAAATAGCCAATTTTCTTTCAACCACAAGGTTTTGTGGTGGTGCACACCTTTAACCCCAGCACTTGTGGAGGGGAGGCAGAGGCGGGCGGATCTCTGATCTCTCTGAGTTCCAGGACAGCCAAAGTTACACAGAGAAACCCTGACTTGAAAAACAAACAACAAAACAAAACAACAGCCGACTGCCATAACTATGGAATAAGAAGGTGGAAGCTACCAGAAGGAATGCTTTATGGATCTGTGGTCCGCGAACTGGGTCAGACATGTGTGGTAACATTTAAAATCACACAACAGCGACACTTTCTGCAGATTCGCCCCTCATTTCTAAATACTTGTCACTGCCCTCGTCATTGCTATCTTCAGCATCCTCTGTCATCCTGTATCACCAACCCTTCCTGCATTTATTATTCCCTACCTCCTGGCCGCATGTGTACATGTAAATCACACACACATGCATGCATACACTCACGCATGCACACACGCACATACACGTGCACACATGTATGCACACATGTATGCACACACGCACACATGCACACACGTGCACACACATGCATCCACACACTCACGCATGCACACACTCACGCATGCACACATGCGCGCACGTGCACACATGCATGCACACTCACAATACACGTGCACACATGCATGCACACTCACACATACACGTGCACACAGGCATGCACATTCACACATTCACGTGCACACATGCATGCACACTCACGCACGCACACATGCACACAGGCATGCACGCACACACACCCTCGCTCCAAATGCCTTTTTACAAAGCTCATGAACCTTGCAACATCTCCCTGTACAAGAGGGCACACGCGTGCATACATACAAGCATATGTACTCATTGAACAGCAGGGTTTTAGGCTATGTCAAGAAACATTTCAAAGGATGTCCTTTCAGTTCGTGACAGTGAGGGCTTAAGCCACCAGCTCAAAGGAAGAGTGTGCACAGTTACAGAGCCAGCCCTTGTCCTCGTCACTGAGGAAGCCTGTCCTGGACAGTCAGCGAGGGCAGCCATTCATCTGCTCCCTCTGCTGCAGAACCTGTCTGCTCGCCACAGGGTGTTTGCCAGGTTCTGCATCTCTCTTCAACCATAATTTAGGACCCAATCTTCCTGCTTCAGTCATAATTTCTTCTCTGTTTCTCACTTTTTCTCTCTTTATTTTTTATTTCCTATTTTTTTTCTTTTGCTATTAAAAAATAAGGCTAATGGAAGTTATACAAGCTTCAATCTCTCTTTCTGGGTAACTAACTTCTCAAACATGTGAGTGATTAAAGCCGCAGCAAATGATTGCATTTGTGCTTTCAGTAATCACCACCAGGAAGACCTAATCAGCAGCTCAGAGCTGTACCCAAAGCCTGGGATGCGAGCTCTTAATTGTCAGCAAGAGACTAACTCCCAGTTTATATTTTTAGAGAAAAATAAACGTCAAATTTTCAGATTGTTTGCACTTCTCCTGGCCTGCACTCTTCAAAGCCCTTTGCAAAGAGGTAAAGGCTGTACTATCCCCAAGTTGAGGATAAGCCTAAGGGGTCTGGTTTCTCAGAAACTCCCTAGTTTCTGAGTACCTTTGCAAATCCCATGACCTCCTAACGGCACTGGCATCACGCATAAGCACCGTACCAATCAGCCTCCAAGGGAAATTTATTTCCAAATAGTTTGTGTATTTATGTACAAAGGACAAATACAATTTAAAAATCTGAGGATGCAATTAGGATGATCTGGGGGAGCAAAGGAAGGAGATTACATACTTCAGACAGCATGAGCCAAAGGCCTCTGACTTTGGAAAGAAACATATATTAATAAAGTCACTACCTCAGCAACTGACCTTGTCCTCAAATCTACTGTCATATTGTAGCCTTTAGGCAACCCTGCACCTCACAATGTTACTTTCTATGGCTTCTACTCCATTCCCAGATGATACTGGGGTCAGAGCTCAGGGGTCCAGGATTGCCTAACATGTCCAGGTGCCTGGTCCTCCCAGGGGACTGAAAAGAGGACAGTCGTTCATTCTTCCCCAGGAGGAGCAAAGGAAGCACAAACTCAGTGAAGAAAATCTTCACTGACCTCTAAAGAAAAGACTGAGAAATGTGCCTAAACTTCACATACATTTTCTTTTAAAATGAACAGCTTAGTGTAAAAAGGAAGAGAGGGAGGGAGGGAGGGAGGGAGGGAGGGAACAGCAGCTGAAGTTAGTTTCTGTTACCTAGGTGACTGTTAAATAAAAGTTGCAGGATGAAAACCATCAGAGCTTTGGCACGTTTTACCCATTAGTTAGCGCGGGGGGGGGGGGGGGGTGGGGGGGGGGGGGGGGTGGGGGGGTGGGGGGGGGACGAATGAGACTACCCTGTTCCAGAAAATGAAATATCTAATAACTAAGTCCTACTGCTTAATTCTTCCTGAAACTTTATCTTACTGAACTAAAAAACATGATCCATTCTTACTACTAAACACACACACACAAACACACACACATACACACACCTACCTACCTTTGGGCACTATTTAAAAGCATAAACGTAGAAGAACTCAGGAAGAGATACGCAGATGCCTCTGAGTTCCAGGACAGCAGGGTCTACATAGTGAGATTTTTGTCTTCAAAAATAAAAAAATTAAAAAAACAAATATTCTATTCCTTTTTTTTTTTAAGTCCGCTAATAACTTACATCCTTCATGATTTTCCTAGATATAAAGAAATAATGGGGGACTGGAGTTAAGAGCATCACTGGCTGCTTTTCCAAGGGGTTGGATCCCTACCCAGCACCCAGAAGGTGACAGTTCTAGGGGATCTCAAGCCCTTTTCTCTAGCCTTTGAGGGCCCAGGCACACAGGTGGTACAAAGATATAAAAGTAGAAAAAACACCCATATACATAAAAAAAAATCTTAACACACACACACACACAGGTTAAGGGTGTAGCTCAGTTGGTAGAGTGCTCGCCTGGCTTGGAGGAGACTCTGGGTTCTATGTCCGGCACCACATAAACCAGATGTCGTGTCCCATGCCTGTAATTCCAGCAGTCCGAGGCTTAAAGCCTCATAGTGAGTCTAAAACCTTGCCTCAAACAGCGGTGAGAAACAGATGATTATATACATGATTCTAAGCTCAGATATTTTTGATATCTTAAAGGTCTATGAGAATAAAATAACTACAGGTGTGGATACAGTAAAGCTTTATGACATACTATATTATTTTTATGTTAAGAACAGACTTGCGCAAGTAAGTGACAAGTACATGGGAGAAGCTGAGCCCAGAACAGAAAGGTGAGGAGTGGGGACATCTTCAGTTTTTCTGAGGTGCCTTTACACTCCAACAGCTGGTCTCATTTAAGATAGCCACGTCCTGATGCTTCTAACGTGTGTGTGTGCATGCGTGTGTGTATGCGTGTGTGCCTGTGCGCATGCGTGTGTGTGTGCGTGTGTGTGTGTGTGTGCGTGTGTGTGCATGTGTGTGTATGTGAGAGAGAGGAAGAGAGAGAGCTCTCCAGAGCGGGTGTGCTGAGGAGGGTGTGCACCGTCGCGGGGTGCACACTGGTGCAGAAGCCAGATGAAGATGCTGTGTGTCCTCCTCTGTGACTCCAGCTGATTCCAGTGGCACAGTGTCTGTCCCCAAACCTTGTTGGTTTCCAGGCAGCATGTCCTGCTGATCATCCATTTTCCTCCCCCACATTGCTGGGGTCACAAGCACATGTGTCCACACCCAGTTTTTTTGTGCAGGCACCAAAGATCCAAATTAGGCTTTCAAGGTTGCTCTCTTCTTACCTAACTGAGCCGCCTCTCCAGCAACATGGTTAAAAGTGCAAATACATAAACTTCTGCACAGCTTTGCCTCTTGTCATTAAGATGCA